CTCCATGTAAAAAAGTAACTTGAAATGGAACAAAATCCTAATTACAAGAGCAAAAAATATATATACAACTTAGAACATGGGAAGAAATCTCTATGACCTTAGGTTTGGCAATGGATTCTTATAATACAGAAAACAAGAACAAAAGAAAAAATAAACTGGATTCAATCAAAATTTAAAAATCTTGTGGTGACATCATCAAGGAAATAAAGAGGCGGCTAAGGAAGCAGTTTGAGGTCAGCCCGGGGAACACAGGGAAACCCTGTCTCAGAAGGGGAGGATGGGGCGGGGAGGACAACGAAGGACAACCTATGTCGTGGGAGAGAATATTTATACATCAGGGATCTGGTAAGGATCGCATATCCCAAATACACAAGCAGCTCTTACCACTGAACACCAAAAAGATACTATGATGAAAAGCCCTCATGCAAAGGACTTGGCTTTCCCCCAGTGATATAAAAATGCCAATAAGCACATGAAAATGTGCTAAGCATCATTCACCTTGCAAAAAGTACAGTGAGGTATCCCTCCACACCACTAGGATGGCCATAATTTAAAAAAGGAAAGTAACTAGTGTTGGGGAGGGAGTGGAGGATTTGGAACTCTCACGTACTATTGATAGGAACGTAAAATGATTCAGCTGTGGGTGTTTAGCAGTTCCTCAAAACTTAAAGAATTACCACATACGCTGGTACTTCCCCTCTTTTAGGTATTTATCTAGAACTGAAAGGTGTTCCCCAAATACACGTACACATGTATGCACTGTGGCACTATTTACAACAGTCAGAAGATGCTATTAGTGCCTCAGCTATCCATCAGGAGGTGGATAAACTGTTTACATAAAACGGGTATTATTCAGCCATGAAAAGACACGCAGTACTGACGTATGCTGTAACAGAAATGAATGGCAAAACATCACACCGAGTGAATGAGGCTGCTAAGAGGCCAGACACAAGGAGTTCCGTTATTCAGAGGCAGTGCACGTATGTACTGAACGCCACTTTCATGTGATTAACTTCGCTAAATGAATTTCACCTCAATTTTTTAAAAAGGCAGCTGGTTTATAACACTAAGAGTACACAGGTCACTTTCCATCTTTGAAATAGTAGAAAACCGTGAAATTCCCCACTAATGAACAATAAAGAGAAATCTCCGTAGCTTGTGTGGGGAATGGCAGCCTGCTTTTCTGTTCTGTTTGCCTCTGAGCATTTCCCCCTCATGAAACACCACTCAGGGTGGGAACGAGTGGGCAGAAAATGCCAAAGGATTACAGCCTTGATAGCGGTATGCAACGTTAGCATAAACATTCAATCACTGAGACGTGGGAATGAGATTAAAATCAGTACAATGGGGACTAATGGGTCTTTGCGTCACCCAGGCATGGATGGCACAGACTGGACAAGATGAAAACACTGCTACTGGACTCAGAAGTCTTGCTTAGGATCCCTGCACCATCTGAAGCGATCTTATGCAAGTTCCAAGGGCTTGGTACTCAGAATTCACTGTACACTTACTCATGTTTATTAGTTTCCTAGACTGCTGTAATAAAGAACCACACACTGGGAGGCTTACAAAGAAGACATTTATTTTGTCCGTGTTGGAGGCTGGAAGTCTGGGGTTGCGGGTCAGCAGGCCGCGACCCCTCTCAAGTCTCTCGGGAGGAGTCCTTGCCCTCCTCCAGCTTCCGGCTGTCCCGGGCGGCCTGGAGACGGCGCAGCTCCAACTGCGGCCTCCGCCCTCACCAGTGTCTTCTCTTCGCCCGCGGCGCCGGTGGCTCCCGACCCCACCCTTAAATCCAGCGTGACTTCTACCACATCAGCAGGCTCCACTTCCACATCGAGCGACACTCCGACGTTCTAGGTAACACTCTGGTGTGCAGGTGGACACAGATGGGGGCATCGTGCAACTCACTGTACCACGTAAGCAACACCATGTCTCCTTTAGAACCAGTAAGGCTGAAAAACACCTCTCAAACTCAAACTTAGTTTGATAATATTAGAATTATTTCTCGGCTGGGAAAAATTTTCTTTACTCTTTAAAAGAAAACTAAATCAAACAACAAAAATATCAAATTGAGTCCTCTCTTTTAATGACTAACCCTGATATAAGAAGGAAACCTCCTTCTGACAGAAACAAATCCTAAATCAGTGCTATCTTTTTTTTTTTTTTGTCTTTTTGAGACAGAGTTTCACTATATAGTTCAGGCTGGCCTTGAGCTTGCTTCGTAGCCCAGGCTGGTCTCGAACTCACAATGATCCTCCTGCCTCAGCCTCCCGAGTGCTGGGATGACAGGCGGGATTACAGGTGTGTGCCACCACAGCCAGCCAGTGCTCTCTTATTTATAATGTATTACTTTTTAAAATAACTGCAGCATTCTCACCATAATGACAATTCAATAAATCTCTCATAGAACTCAGGAGCACTGACATTATGGTACTTACTAAGAAAAGGGTTTGTAATACTTCCTAAGCCATGTATATATTTGCAGGGCTGGGGATCAAATCTACAGCCCTAAGCATGCTAGGAGCACAGGCTCTACCACTACCACTGAGCGACACCCCCAGCTCATCCATGTACTTTTTAAACAGTCACAAATTTTTAACATTCAGAAGGTGAAATTTTATACCTTCAGTGTACAGTAAAATCTGTTATACATTAAATGTCAGCTACCTGAAATAGTGTAAGATGAAAATGTGTCGCAAATAATTTCAAACCCTAAATGACAAATATTTTAATTCATTAATGATCAGGTAATTTTGTAAATAAATTACCAAATTAAAGGATAATATTGGCTGGCTATACATTTTTCAAACAATACAAACATATTCCAGTTCATGTATTTTAACACCAGGGGTATTTTCCATATTATAAGATTAGTTATGTAATAAATTTTCAGGAATTCTTTCTAATATACCCCCCAAAAAACAGAAGTTATTTTTAAAATTTTTGATACAGAACAGTATTATCCCAACACAGATATCTTAAATTAGACCACTCCTTTGGCAGAAAACATGTGAATATAAACATCTTAAAATAAATACAATCCATAAGGTCATGGGAAAAAAAAGAACCACCTTATATTTAACATTAAAAACACCAGATCAACAGATTTAGTATCATTTTTATACTAGCAACAGTCCTTAACACAAATTCCTTATAAATGGCAAAAATAAAATTATTCGTAAGAGGCAGAAACTTCTGCATGTATAAAATTTCACAGGTAAATGGCAATATACACTATATATATATATATGTCAGGTTTTATTATCCCAAAACTATGTTACTTGAACTTAATTGGCTGATCCTAATTTAATGGATAAGCAATATTTATACTGGCTCAAGGATTTATGCTGAGCTACAAGTTAGATGACGGTTAAAACATTTACACAAACATTAAAACAAATTTACTAAATACATTTTAGAAGAAAATGTAGGCTTTTGCATGTGAATACAAATATTAAAAGCAGCTTTGGAATTTTTTATGGTCTTTTTCTTTCTTTCTTTTTTTTAAACAACAGATTTGTTTGCAAAAAAGTAAGGTGCCATTTTAAAAAGTTTTAAAAGTATATAACTAAATTTACCTGGAAGGAAAATACTGCATGATAAACAGACCACAAGTCATTAAAGATTAAAATTTTCAGTACTTGTATCGGAAACAACAAAATGACAGACATTAAGCTTTCAAATTTTGTTCTAGGATAAAGTTTCTTTGAAAAAGGAACATACTTACAATAAAATTTCTGTAAACAGATGACAAAATTCCCAGAAATGTCTTCAAATGGACTTTGTAGAAAGATTAATTAAGTGCTTTAAAAAAAATATAGAAATTTTGCATTCATGCAGAAAGTTTTTTTTTTTTTTTTTTTTTTGCGGTATCAGGGATCAAACTCACGACCTTGCGCTTGCCAGGCAGGCGCTTATGCCACTGAGCTGTATCTCCAGCCCTAAAAGTTTTAATTTTTTAAAAATTAAGCTTATGTCCAGTATTTTTGCCAGTCTAAATAACATGGATCTATAACCATACATACCTGCATTTTCTATTTTGTATTGTGCTAATTTCTTCAATGCAAAAGAATCCATATTGATTTACTACTAACTCTTATAGTATGTGGGATTCCAAAGGCTTAGAATTACTTCTGAAATGAATGAAAAAATTTTTCAACAGCTTAGCATGATGACAACTTAGCAATGGAACGACTCACTTCTTTAATAAAAACACACATCACGCATGCTTGGTCTATATCACATCGAACTGTTACGAATGTCTCACATCACCCATAAACAGGAAACGCAGCAGCTCTGCGTAACACACCGCAGGAAGGAGAGCTGGACCGCATCCTCATCAGACACCGGCCAGAGCCACCTGAGAAGGTCGCCAGTGGTAATTCCAAACGCCAGGGACAGTGCGGAAGTAATTTTCCCTGGGGCTGGAAAAGTTTTGTGAGTACTCCTGGGCCCACTGTTGCTGTGACTGCTCAGGGGACAGGCTAAATGCTTTATCACACATCCACATTTACATGGTTTTCACTGTCAATGAGAGAAAACATTTTTGTTCCTTCCAAATTGCTCTTGCTTCTGCAGACAACTGCATGCTAATTGTTACTCAACATAACACTGACAGGAAAAATGACTGCACTGCAAACACAACTGCAATCTGAGGAGCCAAAAGGAAACATTTGGCAAGCTAAATGCTCACATAAAAGTATGTCTGCCTTTTGAGACAATAGTGTGTGGGAAACCTGACAAAAATACCAAGACAAAAAAATATTTAAAGGTCTCTGGTGCGCTCATGATGACATAGGGGGAAACAATGGTTTCTTTAAAGTAGAACCGTTACACTCCCATCCCATACTGCTTAGTGTCATAAGGCTATTTACTGGTGTCCACATTCACGTAGAGACATTTGCAAGCGAAAGAAAACCAACTAGAAGTACCTCTAAGCTGCCTCTCAACAAAAGACTGACTTCAAACACACCGGACTAAAAAAAAATCCTTTTATGGCCTTTAGAGTAAGATAGGTGTTGTGCTTTATTTACTCATGGTCCTTCTGAGTTGAAAGGAAAAAAGTTTTAGTATTTCCAGATACACTTAGGAAGGCTCTCAAGGAAACGACCTGTCTCTAAAGGAGCGGCTGCTGATGGTAATTTGCTTGCTGCTGTGCGACCGAGTGAGCTGGCACTGCCACCGGGAAGCCCGCCAGCTGTGGCGCACTGCACGTGGAGTTCTGGTAAGTTGACAGATCCACAGACATCCCCATCTGCTGTGTGTAAGCGGCCGTACCAGGAGCTGGCGGAAGGCTAGAGTTCTGGGTCATGTAAGGATTGGAAACAGCGTCTTGTGCAGTGCTACGAACAAAATTTTAAAGAGAAAAATCATATTTACTTTGTGTTATCTAGTATGGTCAGAGATAAATCACTGTGACAAAAAAACACCTTTCCCAAGTCTATGCGGCTCTGCTACTCTGATTACGATTTAATCATTCCGGGCATCAAGAACTGTAAGTGTAATTTTTTACCTTTGGTAAGAGAAGAATGATAAATCAGAACAATGCAAGATTATAAAGCCTGTTTAACTTGCTTTCTCCAAAATCTTTCACCGAAAAACACTCACAACCAAAGGCGGTAGGAAGTGTTTCTGACAGATGCTTGTGTTGGGTCCAGTGAGAATGGAGCCGGGCCCAGGCCACGCTCAGACCTACTGCCCCTCCCTGCGTCCCCACCCAGACTGTCCTCGCTGCTCTCCAAGGTTCCCTCTGGTAGGACTCCTCACTTCCGGAGACAGCTGTTATCTGCACAGGGCCCGGAACCCGCCCAAGGGTAGTTCAGAGGGCCAATTTACTTACCACCACTACTAACACACACCAAACTGAGCTGAAGAATCTCCATAAATTGCAGGGTTCCTGTTTTTTCTTGACTGTACTATGGTATGCTTTTAAAATATATTTAATTTTACATTATACCAAATACACTGTTTGCAATATAGAAGGATTTTTATTACCACTAATCTTACTCAGGATAGTAAAATTTTACAGTTAAATACCAATATAAAGTTTTATTTAAGTCTACACAAACACCCAAATAAACAGGTTATTTAATTTTTAAGTAATGTCTAAACTCACACTGATGAAATTTAAGAGTGGAAAGGGACCTTAAAAATCATGTACACATGATTATATTGAATAAATATCTTCTACAGTGGAAGTGAATAGAAGAAAAGATTTAAAATGAAATTTTCAGGAAAGTGTTCATATAAAAAATTCCACAGCTCAAACGTATTTCCTTTTAAGGGTCGAAGCGACCATAATTTTCTACCAGGAGAACATGCAGGTAAGAAGTCTATGTTGGTTATACCTCTGTGTTAAATCTGTCTTGGGCTCGGTCTCCATAAACGACAATTAGCTTTACAGGGCCCGGAAGAGCGGCGTAAGCCGGGGCAATCATCACAGCATGAGCAGCGAGCCAAGGGCAGCCCCACCCCACTTTATGAGCAAGCACGTCTATAACTTCATCTTAGAATAAAAATCAGGAATATTACCATGAAAAGAAAGATCTACATAGTCTCAAAGTTTACGAAACTTAACACAGCTCCCCAAAACTTACCTTAAATATGGAGCCTGAGCAGGCTGTGCTGTCAGTGAGGAATTCACACTTGGGGGCAGAGACCGCAGAGGACTAACATGACCGGGTGCTACGCTATAGCTCTGGGCAGCAGGAACTTGGTGAAGGCTCTGACCCATGTAGTTTCCACCATGCGACTGAACTGGGTATGTCTAATAACCAAACAGAAAAAGCTGACTCGTGGTGAAGGCTCTGACCCATGTAGTTTCCACCATGCGACTGAACTGGGTATGTCTAACAACCAAACAGAAAAAGCTGACTCGCTGCTCTCCAAACACTTACCTAGCATGTCTAAAATCTTAACAGACTTCAAAAAGACAATATAGTTCTTTGGGGAGAAATCTGATTCCACCAAACGATCCACCCTAGAGCAAAATGTGAAAAGCTCACAAATGACAGTGCCAAATACTGCCTATGAAATCTCTGACTTGCGTGACTGTTCTGTATTTTGGAGGAGGTTGGGAAGAAGACGAGGAAGGAGAGGTGGTGTGTTTTTACGTGCTGCAGTGGAACCCGTCCAGGCGGCCGATTACTCAGAACGTGTCTTGCTGCGAGGCCACGGAACACTCCCTCAGGGAGGCCCATCAGCACTCAGGTCTCCCTGAAAACGACGACCTTCTCTCTCTCAACTCTTCCGATAGGAGACGTTGGAAAAGAGATGGTATCAGGATGCCAGGCCCCCATGGCCCTGTCTACCGTACCTCCTCCCTTCAAAGCAGACAGGACAAAAAGGAAAAAGCTGTGGGTAGGGGACAAGATATGTCCTTGGGGGTAAAAAAGAAAGGGCCTTGGTCACTGGGCATTTATCTGTGCCCTACTTAGTTTGCATGGTAATAGCTCCTTTTTCTTTTCTTTTTTTTTTTTTTTT